AAGACACTGCTAGGGAAGTCAGCGAAGAATGACTTTGATTGCCATTTGAACCTTGCTAGGGGCAGAACCTGGGTGCTCAGACCTCTTGAGCGCCCCCCCCCCTTTTTTTTTCCCTCCCCCAAACTGAGCACTGGTGAAACTGCAGAACCCTGGGCGAAATGACATGGTTCGGAGGTTCATGTACCCAGGCGAAAGATAACCATACGTGAATAACGTTGTAACTATAGATATGATACACAAATCTAGATTGTTGATAGAAGTATGCTTCTTTCTTCTTCTTGTTTTGGTCTCACGTCTGTCTTTGCGAAACATTTGTCATTTTGTTATTTAGGCAGGGAAATAGTAAATGGAATCAAAAGTGTGGTTTTTGGTGGAAATAAAAAGAATAATACACACAAAGACACGTGCACACACACACACAGAGGGAGAGAGGGAGGGAGGGAGAGAGAGAGAGAGAATTGAGGGGGGGGGGGTTGAGTGAAGAGGACAGTCTTTCAAGAAGCAGAAAAAAATAGCTTTGGAGCAATGTTGAGAAATATACTTGCAAATTCAGTGCTAAATTTGATTGTAACGTAGGACGATGAATACAAATCTGTGGCAGATTTTCCATGTGAGATAATGGAAGGAAGAAGAGAAACCCAACTATAGCTCGCGTGTGATGACGTACACATACCACTGATGCTTATCGGTCTGGCACATGATGATGATGGGGAATCAACAGCCAAGCCTGTCTTTCACAATGAAGACCACCTGGTCATGATCCAGCCGACCGCGCTGCCTGTCTGTCAGGGGGAAACCAGTCACTACAACACCCACATCAGTCAGTTTGCTAGTTAGTTGACAGATTAGACTTGTTGCTCATCAAACCATTCGGTCCATAAATGCTCGGATTTCCCCCTCCCCTTTTACCCTGAGTAAATCCCGCAGCGTGTACCGGCTGACGACACCAGTTCTATGATGGTTTCTCATTCATCTTTGGCTTCCTGCATAGTGCTCTTGACTGGCCACACTCCTTTTAATTAACATGCTGTTTTTCCAGTCTGGTCATGGTTGCAGATTTACCTATTACTTAGTCCTCGCAAACGTCTTACTTCTCGTAGACCATTCAGAATATCAACCTGGTCCATGGCTCGCCCCCCCCCCCCCCCCCCCCCAACAGTAGCTTTACCTGCAAGCCTGTCAGCCTGCTCATGCCCTTGCACAAATATGAAACTGATATTTGTCTCGCGTGCTCGCCCATATTACACTCTTGCTCTGTTGGTGCTCGTCATCTCACCACCCCCCCTTTCACCCCACGCCCATTTTACGCCAATCGCAAAGAAATTACGTATTTGTCACATTTCCCTTGTTTGTCACAGACAACCCCGTGTATTCTCACATATACTACATCTATTTACATACGAGTATACTAGCCACACGACGGGCGGCAGTAAATTATCAAACGAAATGTGGAAACTACAACAGGATATAGCAAGTCATTGCCCGGCGCCACAATGATGGCTGCGTAAAGCGGGCGCGAAGCTCAATACACTCACTCCACAGAAAGCCAATTTAAATATATTTTTACAGCCCCTTCAAAGACTGGCCCGTTTCTCTCATCCTTTTAACGAGCTATCGCGTTTGTTCGGCAATCTGCAGGCTGGTCGTACACAGGTGTGTCGTGCTCTGTCAGAGTATTTGCCGTCTTTCATCCTGTGTTTTCTTTGGCTTTTTTGCAAAGTACTTTACTTAGTTCATAACCCGAACTACGTCTGTGGTTCGTTTTCAGCAATGCCTCCCCTTCCATCTTCAGTTTAATTGCGTAGTACTTTTCCCTTGGAGAGCCTCGGTGGTGCAGTAACATAGCCGTGTGCTCGAATTGCACTAAAATAGGCAATGATTAATTATATATTGATCGGTGTACCACAGTTGACCCAGGGGTCGCCGTGGTGTAGCGGATAGACCCTCGCCTGCGGATCGGAAGGTCGTGGACTCGGATCCTGAGGATGCCGGACTATTTTAAAGAAATGACATTGGCTACCAGTCTTGAGTAGGTACCAGGTAAAGTCCTTGGAAGTACATCCTTGAGTAGGTACCAGGTATAGTCCTTGGAAGTACAGCCTTGAGTAGGTACCAGGTATAGTCCTTGGAAGTACAGCCTTGAGTAGGTACCAGGTCTAGTCATTGGAAGTACAGCCTTGATAGTACCAGGTCTTCGAAGTACAGCCTTGAGTAGGTACCAGGTATAGTACTTGGTAGTACAGCCTTGAGTAGGTACCAGGTATAGTCCTTGGAAGTACAGCCTTGAGTAGGTACCAGGTATAGGCCTTGGAAGTACAGCCTTGAGTAGGTACCAGGTATAGTCCTTGGAAGTACTGCCTTGAGTAGGTACCAGGTATAGTCTTTGGAAGTACAGCCTTGAGTAGGTACCAGGTATAGTCCTTGGAAGTACAGCCTTGAGTAGGTACCAGGTATAGTCCTTAGAAGTACAGCCTTGAGTAGATACCATGTATAGTCCTTAGAAGTACAGCCTTGAGTAGGTACCAGGTATAGTCCTTGGAAGTACAGCCTTGAGTAGATACCAGGTATAGTCATTGGAAGTACAGCCTTGAGTAGGTACCAGGTATAGTCCTTGGAAGTACAGCCTTGAGTAGATACCAGGTCTAGTCATTGGAAGTACAGTCTTGAGTAGGTACCAGGTATAGTCATTGGAAGTACAGCCTTGAGTAGGTACCAGGTATAGTCCCTGGAAGTAAAGTTGGCATCGTGATGTTGAACACATCACCTACCGAGTACCGACTGGCCTATAAAAAATAGATGTAGCCCTTTAGGACCAGTACGGAGGTGTGGGAAAGGGTCTTTTTCTAATCACAGCTGACACTAAGATGGGAAAAAAGGGCGGCTTGTGTGATTTTGGCCACCGAAGACTAATTGGTTAACAAAGATGCGGAGCTAGTATGTATCTAAAAAAAAAAACGTTCTACGACCAGAAATGAACAAGTGAGATGCTCGAAAGGTTCCTATAGCACGCCTTAGTACCACCATGTAGAACATTTTCTGCCTACATCATTCCGAGCTTTATTTCCCCACATTTTGTCGTTGTCCTCTGCGTTCACCCTCACACATCCCGCTTTTCTTTGACCTCTTTCATATGAAGGCGGGATCATTTTGGTGCAAGCCTGTTTTAGTCATAGTTAAAAATACAAATCAAAAGCAAATTTGTATATGACGTCATACACCAGCCACACTTTTTATTGACTGTTTGTAGTTTTATTAGGTAATTTTAAGTTGTGTTGTTTTCCATTACTTTTGGAAACGGTACATCCGTTTTATATCTTATATATATATATAGTTATTCGGGTAAACACACTATTGTCTGCTGTTAGTTTGTGTAGGGGCACCTAATATACAGGTGCACTTTATCCCCAAACTTTTCATTATTTCAGAGTTATCCGGGTCAACACACTATTGTCTGCTGTTAGTTATGGTGGGGGCACCTAAAATTCAACAGACGTTCAGCACTGTGCAGCACGGCCCGTAAAGATTTTCAAAGATTATTCAGAGACTGCAGCACGGCAGGCACGTATGGGTGACATGAAAGATGTTCAGAGACTGTGCAGCACGGCAAGGCACGTATCGGTGCAATGAAAGATGTTCAGAGGACTAATGTAAAGATAACAGCACGGCAAGGCACGTCTGGTATGGGTGACAATGAAAGATGTTCAGAGATTGAACGGGGTTTGTTCAGAGACTGGCAAGGCACTTGTTTCAGAGACTGTGCAGCACGGCAAGGCTGTATGGGATTCAGAGACTGTGCAGCACGCAAGGCACGTATGGGTGACAATGAAAGAAGTTCAGAGACTGTGCAGCACGGCAAGGCACGTTTGACAATGAAAGATGTTCAGAGACTTGCAGCACGGCAAGGCACGTATGGGTGACATTGAAAGATGTTCAGAGACTCAGCATGGCAAGGCACGTATGGGGGACAATGAAAGATGTTCAAAGACTGTTGTATGGGTGACAATGAAAGATGTTCAGAGACTGTGCAGCACGGCAAGGCACGTATGGGTGACAATGAAAGATGTTCAGAGACTGTGCAGCACGGCAAGGCACGTATGGGTGACAATGAAAGATGTTCAGAGACTTCATGTTCAGAGACTGTGCAGCACGGCAAGGCACGTATGGGTGACATTGAAAGACTGTTCAAATGGGATTGTGCAGCACTGTGGCGGCTGCAAGGCAGGCACAATGAAAGATGTATGGGTGTGCAGCACGGCAAGGCACGTATGGGTGACAATGAAAGATGTTCAGAGACAATCGACCGGCGGACTGAGATACAGCCCCATAATTCGTTAAAAGGTCAAGATCCGAAATATTGTTACGCAAAAGATACCCGAAAAAAAAATACAAATATCACATACTGATGACTTAAGTAAAGATATGGATTTAAATAGAGACATAGATTTAAGTAGAGATATTGATTTAAATAGAGACATAGATTTAAATAGAGATATGGATTTAAGTAGAGATATGGATTTAAATAGAGACATAGATTTAAATAGAGATATGGATTTAAGTAGAGATATGGATTTAAGTAGAGATATGGATTTAAGCAGAGATATAGATTTAAGTAGAGATATGGATTTAAGTAGAGATATAGATTTAAGTAGAGATATGGATTTAAGTAGAGATATGGATTTAAGTAGAGATATGGATTTAAATAGAGATATGGATTTAAATAGAGACATAGATTTAAATAGAGATATGGATTTAAGTAGAGACATAGATTTAAGTAGAGATATAGATTTAAGTAGAGACATGGATTTAAGTAGAGATATGGATTTAAGTAGAGATATAGATTTAAGTACAGATATGGATTGAAGTAGAGACATAAATTTAAGTAGAGACATGGATTTAAATAGAGACATGGATTTAAGTAGAGAAATAGATTTAAATAGAGACATGGATTTAAGTAGAGATATAGATTTAAATAGAGACATAGATTTAAGTAGAGATATGGATTAAAGTAGAGATATAGATTTAAGTAGAGATATGTATTTAAAGAGAGACATAGATTTAAGTAGAGATATGGATTGAAGTAGAGACATGGATTTAAGTAGAGATATGGGTTCAAGTAGAGATATAGATTTAAGTAGAGATGTGGATTTAAGTAGAGATATGGATTTAAGTAGAGACATAGATTTAAGTAGAGATATGGATTTAAGTAGAGATATGGCTTTAAGTAGAGATATGGATTTAAGTAGAGATATAGATTTAAGTAGAGATATAGATTTAAGTAGAGATATGGATTCAAGTAGAGACATGGATTCAAGTAGAGACATGGATTTAAGTAATGATATAGATTTAAATAGAGATATCGATTTAAGTAGAGATATGGATTCAAGTAGAGACATGGATTCAAGTAGAGACATGGATTTAAGTAGAGATATAGATTCAAGTAGAGATATAGATTTAAGTAGAGGTATAGATTTAAGTGGAGATATGGAGGAAATGCACCCGTTTACAAGCGATGCTCCTTTTCCCATTCACCGGCTGTAAACTGCAGTGAAAAGTTCTGGTTTGTTCGTTGTTGTTGTTGTTATCGATCCAGCGGCGCATGAGCTTTCTCCCTTTGGCCCAATGCCATGTAGCGGAATTTGCATGTTTTCACAAGCTGTTCTTTTCCTCCGTACAAGGTGTTCCACTTGTCTGGTCTCGTAGGGAGTAGCGTTCTTCTTGTCTCACTGAGTTTTGGGCACTCAAAGAGATGGTATTCAACAGTTTCGTAGGGGTAGTTACATAGCTGGCACTCTGGGGAGTGTTGTGGCTGTATTCTGTTTAGATGTCCACTGAGTGGAGTATGCTGTGTTCTAAGTCTGAAGATGGTGGCCTGGTCCCTTATTGTTAGATGGTTAATGCTGTCATTAGGATCAGGGCCAGCCATATATCTATAAACCTCTCTTTCAGTGTCTCCCATGGCCCATCTGTTCAACCAAGACTCTTTACTTATAGCTCTTATAAGTGTTTTTGCTGTCTGTAGGGTTGTCGCTGTAGGTGGTTGTTCTTGTGTTGCTCCTTTTTTTGCCAATCTGTTAGCTCTGTCATTACCTGGTGTGCCGGAGTGGCCTGGAATCCAGTGCATCGCTATTCTGATGTTGTATAAGGTAATAAGCTGATCAGCATCCAAGATTGTCTTGGCTATGTCAGCTCTGCAGCGTTCACAGCCCTCCAGAGCTTGAAAGGCAGACATTGAATCTGTGAAGATGGCAATATTTTGGGCCTTTGAATGGTAAACATCCATTACAGTCTTTCGGTGGTATACTGCTGTTTCCAGTGCAATTATTTCAGCTTCATAATTTGAGCAGAATTCCCCGCATGCATCAAAAATCTCTTCAACAGATCCATCGGGATAACCTGCTTTAATGGTAGCTTGAAATGTATATATAAACATGCTGGTTTGTTTCTCAATTCTGGACTTCCATCTTGTTCCAGAACTTGAGTTTTGCTTGCACATCCGTTTTACATATTTTTTTTTTTATATGAAGACTGTTGGTTTCTCGCCTTTCGGGTAGATGTACTCCAGCTGCAAAGTAAACACAACAGTTTACAGGCGATGCAAATACGAGTCTCTGTAACTTACAATTCTCCGTGCATTACCTCCTGCCTGTAATTCTCTTCTCCATGTATCAATCCAGGCGGTTAAGTAAAGGACCCTTTTCCACGCCTGTAGGCCTTTTGGGCATATATGGCTAGACATATATTTGATAGATAAATCAGCACTTGGTGGGTGATGTGACCGTCTTTACTTCGCTCTTGTCTGGGTAGGCTTAGTAATTCTCTTCCCCTTGTATTAGTCCAGTCAAGACCATCTTATGTTTTGGTAGGCTTAGTAATACTCATTTCTAATGCTTATTGCCTGTTTAACCGGATAACTCAATACCGGTAAACTCACCGCACATTTATTCGCAACTCCGTATAAGATTTGTTTTCCAGACATCATTGTGCCCTAATCAGTTATCACATCGACACGCCCTTGTCCCACATCATTGTGCCATAATCAGTTATCATTTCGGCACGCTCTTGTCCCACATCATTGTGCTCTAATCAGTTATCACATCAGCACCTCATTGTCCCACATCATTGTGCCCTAATCAGTTATCACATCAGCACCTCATTGTCCCACATCATTGTGCCCTAATCAGTTATCACATCGACACGCCCTTGTCCCACATCATTGTGCCCTAATCGGTTATCACATCGGCACGCCCTTGTCCCACATCATTGTGCCCTAATCAGTTATCACATCGGCACCTCCTTGTCCCACATCATTGTGCCCTAATCAGTTATCACATCGGCACGCCCTTGTCCCACATCATTGTGCTCTAATCAGTTATCACATCGACACGCCCTTGTCCCACATCATTGTGCTCGAATCAGTTATCACATCGACACGCCCTTGTCCCACATCATTGTGCTCTAATCAGTTATCACATCAGCACCTCATTGTCCCACATCATTGTGCCCTAATCAGTTATCACATCGACACGCCCTTGTCCCACATCATTGTGCCCTAATCGGTTATCACATCGGCACGCCCTTGTCCCACATCATGGTGCCCTAATCAATTATCACATCGGCACCTCCTTGTCCCACATCATTGTGCCCTAATCAGTTATCACATCGGCACCTCCTTGTCCCACATCATTGTGCCCTAACCAGTTATCACATCGGCACGCCCTTGTCCCACATCATTGTGCCCTAATCAGTTATCACATCGGCACCTCCTTGTCCCACATCATCGTGCCATAATCAGTCATCACATCGGCACCTCCTTGTCCCACATCATTGTGCCCTAATCAGTTATCACATCGGCACGCACTTGTCAGACATCAATGTGCCCTAATCAGTTATCACATCGCCACGCACTTGTCAGACATCATTGTGCCCTAATCAGTTATCACATCGGCACCTCCTTGTCCCACATCATTGTGCCCTAATCAGTCATCACGTCGACACGCCCTTGTCCCACATCATTGTGCCCTAATCAGTTATCACGTCGACACGCCCTTGTCCCACATCATTGTGCCCTAATCAGTTATCACATCGGCAAGCCCTTGTCCCAGCTGTAACTCTAGTATTGTTTTAGTATCTTTATTATTGAGCACCGTTCTCTAATTTGTTCACCAGCTGTCAGCTCCAGCAGAAAGTCCACGTTGTTCGTTCTTTGTACTTTTCTTGTGTGAGGGGCTCACTTTTGTATGCGTATCCGTTTTAGTATTTTATCTAAGTGCAGTTTTTTTTTGTTGTTGTGTGCATCGGGTAGGTGCACTCAGACTTCGAAGGAAGCTCCGAATTAATCGACTCCACCGACATGCTTGTGTAGTGGGTCCATTCTTACTTTTCCCACAATGGGACCGAAAAAGACTCATTTAAACGTGTTACAAGAGATCAAAATCGCCCAACAAGACATAGTGCCAAGCACTACCCCATTCAACCTATACAGAATTTAATTTTTATATCACAGGGCTGAGTAAGATACATTTGATGGTCACTTAGGATACAGTGTGCTCAGGTACATACTAGTGACATCATCATCATGAGGGAATTCTCCACTAAATGTATTTGTTTTGTACCTCGAATTAGGGCAACAATTAATCCCAGTTTTGCAAAAACGTAATTCCTGTTTTAAAACAAATGACACACCCACCCCTGCTAGAAATAGCTTAGGGAACCCCTAGAAACAGATGCTGGAAAAGAAGAAGTAATTTGAGAAAAAGAGACAAAGGGATCGGGCGGGGGAAGGGGGGGGGGTGGAGAACACACTCCAGTAGACACAAACATGCCCAGCACAGAGCAGGCCAGACGTGCTATCCGGTCTAGGAAAAATAAGTTTACATTTCTAGATGGAATCTGAGCCCAATGCTGTTGTAGTTCAGAGGGCATGTTAGTTATCTATCTCCAGTCGCCGAAGACCTGAGAACAGAATTCTGTTACCCGTGAGAAGACCGCTAATGCCATGAACACTGTCTGACTGGATGATGATGATGAGACGATGGTGCCTATGAAGAAAGGTCTTCTATGTCAAGTGTGGAACTGGACAAATACACAACAAGTTAGGTTGTGGCTGTTCTGTAACATCTCTTCTCAAATCTCTCTCCTCGACGTTACTGATTTATCATACTATCATTTTATCTATTATCATCTATTTATTTTGAAGCTTGCTTTCAGAACCAATTAAATGATGCAGTATTGTTAATGAACATCTATTATTCATTTCAATAGTAGTTGTAGTTAAGTTGTTTCTAAATGTAGAATTGTTTGTCAAATTAAGTTATAGTTCAAGGATCTGGAATGTGGGGTTAATCTATAAAAAACCAGAATGGGAATCAAGGTGAGAGAATAACTGTGCTGTCTAGTATTACCCATTATCTCCAGACATCTAATTCCTCTTTCTCCTTTCTAGGGACACTCAAATAGCTGACTGTTACTGTAAGAGCCAATGATAGGCTGCAACTGTGTTCATATTAATAATAATATTTGTCCCAGTTTTCTCACTTGCATTAGGAGATATGGATACAACACATACCCACCTCCACAACACATACCACCTCAACAACACATACCCACCTCGACAACACATACACACCTCCACAACACATACCCACCTCCACAACGCATACCCACCTCCACAACACATACCCACCTCCACAACACATACCCACCTCCACAACACAAACCCACCTCCAACTAATCAGTGTGAGTTAAAACTATCAACCCGTTACAAAATGTTTAAAAAAAATTCTTTAAGGTAACACTTGGCCAAGATAGAAAGAGATGCGTGGGAGTGAAAGGGTTAATAACTAGCTGGCTTCGGTGTCTGAAGCTTTCTGCGAGATAGAATGACCAGCTCTAAAACCACACATCCCTTGGTCGACGATGGTATGCTGTATGCTTTCTATACAGCCGTGTTATTCACTATTATTGAAAAAAAAAAAAAAAAAAACTAAGAATGCAGTTAAGAATATTGAGGACACAGTGAATATTGCTAAGAATGCAAACAAGGATGCAAAAATACCGAGGATAAAGATAAGACTTCTGAGGATACAGATAAGAAAATTGAGGATAAATACACGAATACTAAAAATACAAATAATAATGGGGATACCCATAGTACTGAGAATATTAATACGGATGATGAGGGGGAAAAATACCGATGACACAAGTAATGATTCCTACACACACACACACACACACACACACACACACACGTGCATATACACAAACAGCAAATACACATAAATAGATATCCTAAACTTCTTTTAGAAGTCTCTTTACTTACAACTAAATGATATGTTCATCGGACCGGAAACATTCACTAATGCTGACGTCACAGTTTTAAACAGCTGTTACACCTTCCAACTGCAACACATGTTTTTTTCTAATGTCATTTAATTTTGTGTCCGCTCTCTTCTCCTTAACATTGTCTGCACTGTTCTACGTCCGTACACACACACACACACACACCACACACACACTCACACCAAAC